TGCTTGGACTTGAGAAAACATGAGTCCTTTAAATAGATGTTTAAGAACTAACTTTATCATCTAGGATGATATTCCTATCATCCTATTTGATTAGAATAAATTAAGCTCAATTAGCCCGGACGACTTAGGACGATTAGAAGATTTTTATTCATATTATCAAGGATGATATTATATCATCCTGTACGATTAGTTCAAATAGAGTAATATCATCCAGACCATCGCTCTGAATGGGAGTCTGGACAAAAATAAAATGACTTGATCATCCAGGCCGATCTCTTGATCGTCCTGGCCGATTAGTTTAAAATTTGCCCAAATCGTCCAGAACATTGCTCTGAATAGTCATTGGTCATCCAGGAGAAATCAAGTTTTTTGAATTGATCATCTTGGCCAATCCTACAATCGTCCAGGATGATATGATCATATCAATCAACCTTAATTACTTTCCTTAATCTCCAGATCAATTTAGGCATAATTGTGCTGCATTATCCAGGTTGATGTTCTAGACGATAATTAAAAAATAAAGCTTCCTAAATTGATCTGGTGGCTGATTCTTTTTTATTTAAGCCCATCATCCACAACAATAAAAAAAATCAACCAGGATGATATGCTTAATGACAGCTGCCTTAACCAGAATGCCCTAATTAGGGTTTTTGTTTTTGACCAATCAGCTAGGATGATTTTGGGATTGTCCTGGATGATGTGGAAAAAATTAGAAAACTCTAAGTCAGACAGAAAAATTTACTCAAGTGTGTGTGTGCAGGGTTACTTAGTATCAGGAATCACGAAGATTATAATTGACTCAAGAAAGAGAAAACAAATACATTACAAACTTACTCAGACCTAATCTACCCAAACTTGAGCTGGTTCAAATTGTGGTCTTGATCTTGTGGACCTGAAATGTTAGTAGGCAAGGTAGTCGTAGTAAAACAGAAGTGTTTTCAATCATCAAAATTTTATTTCTGAAAATAGATATGCAACATAGTGATTCTGTGGTGTGTCCTGATGGTTTTACGACTCTTTTTTTTTCAAAAATATTGGTGCATTATGCAAAATGACATATTTTCTGCTATTTTGGATTTTTTGCTGGTATCCCTTTTCCTAAATTCTTTTCTTCTACCTCGCTTGTGCTTATTCCTAAAAATAATTTTGTTCAAACTTGGAATAACTTTTGTCCAATTAATCTTTGTACTTTCTTCAATAAATTAGTTTCCAAAATTATTTTGAATCAGCATGCTTTCATTTTACCTAAAATTATTTCTCCTAATCAAATGGGTTTTGTGAAAGGCAGGGCTATCACAGAGAAAATTCTTTTGGCTTAAGAATTTTGTCATGATTTGAATGTCCGGGTTAGAGGGGGGGTAATGTGATTTTCAAACTTGATATTGCTAAGGCTTATGACAATATTAATTAGAATCTCATTTACTTTATGCTCGTACTTTTTGGATTTAACACTATTTTTATTAATCTTATTATGAATTGTATTGAGAATGTCTATTTTTTCATCACTCTTAATGGCTCCAATCATGGTTTTTTTAAATCTTCTCATACCTTATGGTAGGGGGATCCTATTTCCCCTACTCCAATTATTATTATGGCTGAATTTTTATCTAGGGGTTTCTTTAACTTATTTGAGAATAATGCTAGTTTTTATTTTGGAACTTTGGGAGGTTATCATATATCTCAATTATGCTTTGCGGATGACTTTATTGTTTTTATGAATGCTACTATTAATAGAATTCATAAACTCATGGAGTTTTTCAATCTTTTTAAAATGGTTAGTGGCTTGTCTTTTAGTAAACATAAGTGCTGCTTTATTGCTTCTAAAAGGATTTCTAATGATCGAATTTTAGCTATTAAAGATGCTACTTATTTTACTCATTCTAATTTGCCTATTGAGTATCTTGGTGTCCCTTTGTTTAAATATAGAAGAAAGACTATTTTGTTTGATGATCTTATTTTTTCTATTCAAAATAATCTCTTATCTTGGGACTCTAACTTTCTTAGTTTTGGTGGTAGAACTACTCTAATCAAAAGTGTTCTTTGTGCTTTACGTGTTTATATGTTTCAAACTATTTTTCCTACTCATACTGTTTGCAGCAGGATTCATAGGCTTATCAGCAAGTTCTTTTAGAAAGGTACTTCTTCCACTTCTAAAATTACTTGGGCTGCTTGGGAAAAATGTTGTGGTATTTTATCGGAAGGTGTCTTGGTTGTAAAAATTTTCATGATCTTGCTAAAGCTTTTTCCTTTAAACTTTGGTATAATTTATGCGCTCAAGAGAATCTTTGGGCCAAGTTTCTTATTTCTAAATATTCTAGGGGTTCCCACCCTACCATTATCTCCTCTAGAATTGGGAATTCTGTAGTGTGGAAAAGGCTTTACAAGATTAAATGGGAGGTGGAACCCTTTATTACTTTTGTTCTTGGTGAAGGTATTATTTTTTTTTTCTGTCAAGATAAATGGTTAGGTAAAGATTCTATTAATTTTATTCTAAACTCTACGTCTTCTGCTTCTGTTAAAGTTAATTTTTTCTTCAATGAGAATTGTTGGGACTTGATAAACTCTCTAGTTTTATTCCTGAATGCATTATCCAACATATTTTAAAAGGGCCTATTAATACTAATGCCAAAGACATAATTTTATGTGACTTATCCAAAGATGGTGCTTTCCATCTTAAAAATGGATGGCATTCCCTTAGGGATAAAGTAATTTGAGTAATATTTTCTCTAAAATTTGGCATAAGTGTATCCCTTCTACGATTTCTGTCTTTGTTTAGAGGGTTCTCAATAAATTTATTCCTACGGAGGATGTTAAGATAGTTGCTATTTGAATGCTTTAGATTTTTGCAACTTATGTAGTTTTGATGATTCCAAACATTATTGTTCAAATGTGTAGTTATCTCCTAACAATTTTAGAAGATTTGTTTTTGCTCTTGTGTGTACTAACATTTCAGGAAAAATGAACTCCAGACTACGAAGACTTCAAATCAAATTCAGAATGAGATACTTTATAAAATTTGAAGTTTGTATTTTTTTGAAATTAAATTGAAAGGGAGTGATTGTAATTGAGTGAATAAAAACATACACACACACATAAGGAGATCATAAAAAATTTATACTGATCGTACTGGACGATATCCGTTCGTACGGGACGATCAGACAGTTATCTCCTATTGAGCGCATGGAACGAATAGGAACTTGCTTAAAAATTTTTCTAAGACCTATTCATCCAGGACGAATTTAACAATCGTCCAGCACGATTGGTTCTCTGTAAAATGTTCGTCCAGACGAAATTAAATTATCGTCAATGGCGATTGGTCCTCTGGAAAATTTTTGTCAAGAAGAAATTAATAATCGTCCAGGACGATCGACTCTCTGGAAAATTTTTGTCCAGATGAATTTAAATTATCGTCAATGGCTATTGGTCCTCTGGAAAATTTTCGTCCAGATGAATTAAATAATCGTCAAGGATGATCGGTCCTCTGTAAAAATTTCGTCCAGACGAATAAATTTTTGTCCAAATGATTAACCGACTTAGAATGGTTTTCACCAGTTTCTAGAACCGACCTAGTAATAACCGTTCGTACCAGACGAACCTAGTTCATACGGGATGATCAGCTGTACGAATACATTTCATACACATATACAAATGGGGTCGTTTCAAATCGTTTAAGTAAAATCATCCAGGACGATCCACGATCGTACGGGATGATCCACTGCGTACAGAATTGAAAATTTATAGTTTTTGGGCAGTTTTTCTTGTCTTTTGTATAAATAGTCCAAATTAGACTGCCACCTAATCTTTTTGTCATTTGATCTTCGTGGCTCTTGAGAGAATAGTCAAGGAGAGAGTGGAAGAGAGCAGTCAAAGGAGGATTCCTACAATTGGAGCAAGAAGGCTTCACTTGGATTACAAAGGTAAGAGTCTCTACTTGTGAATTGGGATTACTTCACTCTTTTCCTTCTTCCTTCTAGATTCTTGTGAGAAGATCTGTCAAGGAGATCCGGTTATCTGCCGACACTTGGAGAGTGTGAACAGACAAAGGGTTCGCTTCCTAAACTTGGAGAGTGTGAATAACTGAAGGGTTCGCTGCCAACACTTGGAGAGTGTGAATAGCCGAAGGGTTCGCTTCCTACACTTGGAGAGTGTGAATAGCCGAAGGGTTTGTTGCCTACACTAGGAGAGTGTGAATAGCCGAAGGGTTCGATGCAACTACTTGAAGAGTGTGAATAGCCGAAGCGTTCTCTGCCCACACTTGAAGTGTGTGAAAGGACGAACAGTTCTTTGTTAACACTTGGGATTATGTAAAAGGATGACAGTTCTCTGCCGCAGCGGGGATTGGTGAAAAAAGTGTGTTGTAAAGGCTTCTCCGCCTTGTTGTGGGTTCAAAAGGAGAGTCACTATTGGTATTAGTGCAATACTCAGAGGGTGCCTCTGGGGAGTGGATGTAGGTCTGGTTTTAGACCGAACCACTATAAATCTGGTGTCATTTACTTTACTATTTTTATGTTTCCACATTTTAATTCTTAGTTTTAAAAACTCTGTGGTTGAAAAACTTTTTCTACAAAACTTAAAAGAAACAATTTTTATTTCAGTTCAACATAATTTTAAAAGAGGGATTAAATTTTTTAAACTACCAATTCACCCCCCCCCCTCTTGGTAGCCTTTGGGACATTAACTTAGGCTTAACAAACTAATTACTATACTCAACAGAGGACAATCTTATTAAAAAATGTTTCAATTTAGCTTCTAAATGTCAATGCTATTTTCATATCGAAATTATGCACCATGTGTTTGTTTTTGACCCTGTGGCTGTTAGAACTTGGGTTTATTTTGACGATTTGCTTCACTTAAATTGTTTTAATGCTCACCTTTCTCTTTATTCATTACTTAAGTCTTGGTTTGATGATGTTAAAGTTCACTTTCGCAAAGCTTTACCTTCTCTCATTCTTTGATTTCTTTGATTGGAGAGGAATAACTCCATTTTTAATGGAGTGAGAATGAACCATCTCAATGCCATTCAAAGGGTGAAGGATAAAATTTTAGAGCTTGTGGCTATTAATTTTCTTACTGTTATGAATTTTAAAATCTGTTATGATGTTAGCACCACTTTAGGGATTAATTGGGAGAGAACTCCTTCTACTATTAATGTTATCTATTGGATAAAGCCTCCTCCTAATTTTTATAAACTGAATGTTGATGGTGTTCTTTCTGAGTCTTTGGCTGGTTATGGTGGTCTCATTCGAGACAGCAGTGGTCATCTTACTGTGGCCTTTGCGGGGTCGGTTCCTAATGGTAATGCTGATACTACTCTTCTTGCATCTATTCTTTATGGTATTCAACTTTTCTTTCCTATTAATTTAACTAATTTGATTATTGAGGTGAATTCTAGTTTTAACATAATTCCTTTTTAAGATGGGGAGGATGTGTGTTGCAACCCAAATCTTTCTTATAATGTTAGGGAAATTAAAAGGCTATTGTTGTTTATGAATTCGTCTTTCTACCATGCTAGAAAGGGTGGTAACTCTTGTGCCTCTTGGCTTGCTAACTGGGTTTGTAGGCTTAGCTATTTTACTGATGTCATTCAACCTTCTATTCCTGAACCCTTTAATGGATTGCTTTACCATGATGCTTGCGGGGTTCTTTATGTTGTTCCTTAAATGTTTTTGTTGGTTTTTTAAGCTCTGAATGGTTGTTTCTTTGGTCCGGGGTGGTTCTTGGATAGTGTTAAATTTCTGGCATTTTTTATCGATGTAGTGGTTGCTCTGGAACAATTTATGTATCCCATATTCTTTTGGCTTCTGGAGTTTTGTTGGCTGGATCCTTTTTGGGTATTTTTTCTATTGCGAGAATTTTTGTTTCTTTCTATTTGCTGGTATGTATTATTGTTCTTGGCATTTTGCTTTCCCTCCTTATTTCTAGATCTTCTTATGCTGTTGTTGAAATAGTTGGTTGTCTATTGTTGGGGTTTTTGGTGGTTGGAATTTTGATGGGGTTCATGGTTTTGCTAATGTCTGTCTGGATTTAAATTAGAACAATGATTTTTCTATTTTTGCTACAGAGGGTCTGTCCCTTTGTTGCTCTCCTACCTATTTGGATGTTGATGGTAATGGTGGGATTAAGGTTGGTTTTTCATCTCCTTTTGATGGGGTTGGTCTATTTGGTTACGGGTTATGTTATGATGGTATCAGGTGTTTTGGCAATATGTTAATCCAGAGTTATTTCTTCTTTTTCTGTGTGATTCTTGGGGGTAATTCTGCTAGCCAGATTTATTATGTTGTTAATTGTGTCTGGTGGTTCTTCACTTATAGATGTGTTTGTTGGTTAGCCTTGATTATTTATGTTTGTTGTCCTATTATAAACTGCTATGCTATTGGTATCATGAGAATTACCTATTGGAATGTTTTTGAGATGTCTTTGGACATTTCCCATGTTATGATTGAGTGACATCTAGACTCTCTTAATGAAGATCGTATTAATGAGAGTATTCTGAGCTCTAATGGTTTAAATGCTAAGACTAGCTTTACTTTGAACAATTTGGTTTCCTTCTTATTCATTTCTATTACCTACCCCAATTTTGGCAATTATTATACTAATAGTTTGTTTTGGTGTAGTTTCTTTCCTTTGTAGCTTTTCTTTTTTGTAGGTGGAGCTGACTAGGCTTGGCTACAATTTTTTTGACAGAAAGAGTGGGCTTTATTGTTATTATATGATCCTTATTTTTTGGATTCTTCTCTATATCAACATTAGAACGCATAGGCCCCTTTGCAGGATTTAACTAAAAAAAAAAAGCTAATCATGCATTTTGCAAATAAAAATTATATATCAAAACCTTTGTCACATAATTGGCTAATGTTACGTAGATTATGCTTAAGGACATCAACTAATAAAATATTTTCAATAATAAACTAATTAGAATTTCTAATTATATCTGTGTCAACCACTTTCCTAGTGTTGTTTTCCCTTAGTGTGACCACGCCTCTTTACTTTGCCTCTAGTGCGATGAACTGCTTCAAATCACCAGTCATGTGCCTCAAGCATCCATTGTCTAGTTACCACATGCTATTACTAGGTCTTTTGTGAGATATTTCCTACAATATCATTAAACAAAATATTTAGGAACCCATGTAATTTTTGGTTCCACCTTATGCATTGATGAATGAGATGTTTGCATGCATTGATGTGATGCAACTAGTTTTGGCCTCTACACTAGATGTGTCTTATAATGGATAATGCTATTGCGGTCTATATGACATTGTATGCCACAAGAGTAACACCTAACACCAGGAAATGTTCACTAATTTATGTGGATTATGGTGCCTCTTCCTAGGGTTAAATAATGCACAATGTGATGTAGGTTTACACTATGCCAGATTAGGTGATGACATTTTATTCTGAAGTGCATTTATTTTTTCTTATAAGAATTCATTTGCACTTTCGATAATGGATATTTCCATTTTCAATGCATGATCACTACTATGTAAATAACCTAAATTATTTCTAACTCCTTAAATATGTTTTCTAATTCAATATGTTTTTTTCTTTAAGGATTTATGTGTAGTAATTAGTTCAACATGCTTCTTGTTTAATGCATTGAATTCATCAAGTAAAGACATGTGACCATTATCTAAAGTAGAATGTTTAGCTATCAAACTAATATGCTCCGTTTGTACATTAAAAAAATCGATGTTTAAATTACCATCCATCTTCTCAAGTTTCTTATATGGATCATGAATGTTTTTTGAGATTATAAATAATTCATCATATAAAAGTTGTCATACCTTATCTTGATATAATTGATCAAGATTATCATTAGTCATAAGACACAGGTTTGATACCTCCTCCTCTATTTTTGGTTCCACTAATTCTGAGGTAGAGTTCTCCCAAAACACCTTATGAGTCTATTCGTTCCCTTTTTAAACTTTTTTCTTTCATCGCCCTTCTCCTATATTGTGTGAGCTTTTAGGTTGGGGCAATCCATCCTCAAGTGCCACGACTTCCTATATTCAAAATAAAAAATATCAAAAGAAGCTTAGAATTCTTATTTGATTTACCTTTATTCCACTATTGATGAAGCTTTTAAGTTTCCATGTCATCAATACTATGTCATCCTCTCCCTCAACTATAGAGATATCACTTTCTTACTCATTTACTTTCGGTGATACCACTTTTTCCTTCTTCTTGTCTCTTACAACTTATAATCTTTGACTCACACCTTGCTCATAGATAATGAGTGAGCCTAATAAGCTATAGATAGAATAAATATTAATATCCTTTGATTCATAAATAGTGGTAATCTTAGCATCATAGTTACTAGGTAAACATCTAAGAATTTTTTTTTTTTTCATAGTTAGAAAGTTCTCTCCCTAAAGCATGCAAAGATGTTAAGATATGTGTCAACCAAGTGTACATGTTCAAAATGTTTTTGCTAGGTTTCATGTTAAAGAGTTCATAATCATGCAATAGAATGTTCAACCTAGATTATTTAGCTTCATTAGTTCCCTCATATATGATACACAGTTTTTTCAAATTTCTTTACAAGTGGTATAGTTAGATACTCTCATATAATCTTCGGACTTAAGAGCACATAAAAAATAGTTCAAACACTTTGCATTCAGCTGAGCTAAGTCTCTATCTTTATTGCTCCATTCATTAAACAATAAGTTAGTTTTAATTCCATTAATAAAATGAGATGGAGTAGAAAAACCCTCTTGTACTAAAAACAACATGCAAAAATTGATAGATTGCATGAAAGTAGACATGTGTATTTTCCATAAATCAAATGGTATATTGTAAAGAAAAGGTGGACAAGTAATAGAGTAACCTTCTGTAATGTTCCTATTTTTGAAATTTGCCTTGGATCGTCTTCCTCTAGGAATTCTAAAACACTATTTCTGAATACCACTTTGATACCAATTGAAAATTTGATATGGATGTTAATCCTAAGTGAACTTTTCCCTAGGAACATGTTGGGGGGGGGAGTGGATTAGTGAATTTAAAAACTAATTGCTTTATTTAAAAATAAAGATAATGTTTTTGGATTTCTTTGAATATTTTAAAAACATGTAGAAATTATCACTTACTGTAGAAGCAAGACAAATTTACCAAAACATGAAAAAAATGATAATGAAATTCTATTCAGTAAAGTTAAGCATTGAGTACAAATTTCACCAAGTTTTTATAATATAATTAACGTGCAAAAATTAAAATGCATAAAATAGAAATTGGATCAAACATACCAAATACTTACAGTGGTTTAGTCAAATAATGACCTCCGTCCACTCCCTAGAGTCCTCCACTCTGAGTATATTGCACTATCATTATAGTGTCTCTCCTTTTGGCCCCACAGCAAAGAAGAGAAGCCATTACACAAATCACTTCCACCAAACCTAATACGGTGGAGATTCATAAGCTTTGCCACCCTCCAGACGATGGTGATAGGTCTTCAATCTTTTCTCGCTCTTAGAGAAAGTATAGAACCTTGCATCCTTTCTTACCTCCTGGTGATGGTAGAGAACCACATCCATGGGCTTAATAATCTCTTCTCAGAGCCACCAAGTAACCTAGATAGACACTTCAAGCAAGGAAAGACACTTTCTTGGAGAAATCATGTGATCCCCTCACACACCAGCACTCTCTCATCTTCACAAAGCTCTCCAATATCTTCTTTTCAAAGCTCCCTCTCATGAACACTCAACAACCAAAGACTTGAAAAAATTCAATGAGAGAGATTAAATGCAAAGCCTTACAAAAAGTCCTAAATACAGTTCTAGCTATACTTATCATACAATACAATCCTGGATCATCCAATATGATTAGTTCTATTAGTACTATACAAAGAGCTAGGTGATGTACGATCAGTTCAAAGAATTAAGTTAATCGTACATGATGATTTAGAGCATCGTCTAGTATAATTAGTACAAATGACTTGGATTGCCATCTAGTGTGATTGGTGATGATTAAATTATCATCCTATGCAAAAATCCAATCTTACAGTAAGATTGATCAAATTGTCTTGGATGATATGCCTACATTAAATAATATAAATTTTTTCCCTAATCATAGGATTAATTTAGTTAATAGTTAATTACATCATACAGTATGATACTAATAGTACCATATTTTAGTAAAATGCTTGAATTTCAAAATATTACCTAAATTATGATTGGTGGCTGGGATCCTGATTTTAACTTATCATCTTGAATGATAAACATTGTACTTTATTATTAGTTCATCTTACATTAGCTATCATAATTATCCACTTTAATCATTTTCTAATTTTCTGATCATATAGTATGATATGAATCGTATTGCATGATTAGTTCGAAAAATTTAACTTCTGATATTGTCACTAATCCACTCCCTTGAGTGTGTGTTTGTTCATGTTTATCAAGCTTAGTATCCACCAAATACATGATTTGAATAAAAAAAGTAAAAATATATAAGAATTAAAAATACAAATATTTCATGACATACTTAACCTTAGTATACCCAATCTTGAGCTGATCAAATTTGTAAGTGTACAATGAACTTGAAATGTTAATGCATAAGAAAAAAATAGATATACAATAGTAGCAATTAATAGAAGATAGCACAGTAAGAAATCTAATAATACTTTTTATCATCAAAAACATAGCACTTGGGTATAGATTTGTAATAA